AGTTTTAATGGGAGACTCAAGTCAAGTAAAGAAAGTGAATATAGGATGAAGAGTATTGCTCAGTGGGAGAGTGTGTGCTTAGCATGCACGAGGTCCTGCGTTCAATCCCCAGTACCTCCAGTAAATAAACAAACAAACCTAATTACTCTCCCCACCTAAAATTTAAAAATATATATATACTGAGTGTTATGCAGAGACAAGTAGGTTTATACCTCTCTTTCCATTCATTCTTTCGTCCATTCGTGCCTCTCTGACTTGGGATATAACAAAGACATGTTCCTTTAATTACTGAGTTAGAATTATTGAATTCATTTGTGTGGAAATAGGCTCATCATAAAGGCCAGTTTGTAATCTGCAACAGGTTATTTGCCACGTTTTTATTATCACTTTACAACATGTAAAGTATTTAATACTGTGTGGCAAGTTCCTTATCAACTACAGAGATCTCTCAAAATTTATGTCGGTCTTGCACAATATTGTGTCATATGAGGACAGTCTGAATGAGCTGACTCTATCATGAATTCAGAAGGATAATTGAATTGAGGATTAGCTCCATCTCTTGGTGACACATTGCCATTATATTAATTCTGTTTATTGTCCAAGTGTCATAGTTTACCAAGCACTTTCACATGGTACCTCATTCAGTCCTGTGTAGACCCCTGTGATGTAAATAACATCGTCCTTGATTTACAGATGATGAAACTGAGCTCAGTATGTTTGTGTTTCTCTTAAATGCTCAAGTACATTAAGTTGCAGAAGCAGGTTTTTTGACATCAAGTCTTGCCTCCTTTTCACGTCGTCACACTCACCTCTGTGGGCAGGTACCAGTTAGCGGTAGAAAAGAGCATCAGGCTTTCCCTGCCTTTTCAGCTGACTTACCCTGACAGTGCATCCTCACTGCATGCAGTAGCTGGGAAAGAACGTGAAATTGTGTGACCCATGTAGGGTCACTTCTAGTCCCTTTTGCCAGTAGGATCCATCAGAATTTTCTTCTATTGACCAAGTTGGCTTTCTTTGATTTTCCAGTGTTGTTCTGGCACTATAAGCTTAATATCTCACGGACCACATGCAACCTCCCTTTTACATTCAGAAGGGCATTATATATAAATGTGCATCATTAATATCTTACTTAGAAATTTCATGTCATCAGTCCAGCATCAAGTGATACTCTGATGCCATCAATGATTAGATGGATGAATATTATCATTTGGCTCAGAGACCATTATCAAACCATTGGAGGCAAGGATTGCAAATTATTTCTAATTGTTTCTGTATTCTGTTCAAGTGTGAGGAAACCAAGAATGGGTTCCATTTTCCCTGCAGCGTCTTTGACATAGGTAATGTTGATTGGCTTTATCATCCTGAAGGACAGTCATCTCATCTAAAAACCTTGTGTATACTAGATGTGGGAATGGTATGTTTAAAGACAGTCATGAGATAAAATTTTATGTGAACAGTTTACTAAATATTTCTTTTATAAATAAAATCTCATTTTGGGATTTTAAATAAATAGTACCTTGAAGCAACCACCTTACAAATTGGAAATGTGTGCTCTTTGTCTGAGATGATTTTATTTTTATGTGGGTCTGTGTGCACATGCACTTTTACGTGCCACACACATGCATATATTTCTGATAGTACAGAGTTACAGACAAAAAAATGTCACTTTGTTTTTCAAAAAGAGAGTTATGAAAACTGTGCTGTGGAAATCTGTGTCTTGGACACAGTGATGGATTCTGATTGCTTTGCCCACCTCTTGGAATTTTGGGGGATTCTCTTTTGAAATATTACTTTTTCGTGGATCTGTAACTGACATACACCTTAGAGGTCGAAGAAAGTCTCTCATCAATGCACTCATTTTACAGATGAGAAGCCAAATGACTGGTCCAGTGTCAGCCGTGTACTCATGCTATTCTTCATTCTGACTTTTCATAGATCAGCTCAAATGGGTAGCTAGTTCTCACAGGTGGAAAAGACATCGCAGTATACTAACTTTGTCTCTTTTCCTTTGTTTCCTCTTCCTCTTGATACACATGTACCTTTTAAAAAAATTACCTTGTGTGATAAGACTGAACCAGAGGACAACTCAAGTCACTTGTACTTGCCCCCCACCGCCCCCTCCCCTAAATACCTGGAACTTTAAGGTAGCAGGCCCCAGGGCCATTTTCATTGTGAGTCCCCCAGTCCTGTGTGTTTCTCGGTGTCTTTGGGAAAGAGACACCCTTGGTTACAAGGGTTCTTGCTTTTGATGCTCTGTGGTATGTGTTTTTTTTAAAGTAAGTATTAAAGATAATTACCAGACACAATTATTTTTGTTCTTTTGATTTTCTATTTCTAAATAATTTCAAATTTACAGAAAAGTTGCAAGAATAAGAATAGTAAAGAACACCCATATAATTTGCCAGTTTCTTAGGCAAATTACTTCATTTGCTTTATCATGTGTTCTCTGTCTCACTCTTTAATCTATTGGTAAAATCTGTAGATATATATAGTAGGAGAATAGATAGATATCTAGAAAGAGAGAGACAGCACATGTGCGCTTTTTTTTCTGAGCCATTTGAGGGTAAGTTGTATATAGTATGCTTTTAAAAAAAGAACCCTAAAAAAATCCCCTCATTACGGTTCCTCTCCATGGAAATCTTTAGTAAAAGGTGAATGGTTTATACAATCTGAAGAGAAAGCAGAGTTTTCTCAAGCAGAAATTTTATGCTAAAGGTGAAAATAAGAGCATTTGTCAGTCTTCCAACGTTAGAAGTTTTAAATGAACAATGAAAGGATGTGTGTTATTGTCATATCTGCTAAGCTAAGTATCCTTTTAAAAATCTGTCAGGTCTTTTTTTCTGATGGTCTGTGAACCTGGGACCTCATCAGATTTGATTCTATTGAAATATATTTCTTAGAGGAAAAGTAGCCTATGTGTCTTACATAAGTCTGTAGTCAGCTATAATGGTTAATGTACAACCTCCCTTGAAAAATCTGTTTTACAAGCAAAATGTTGACACAGTTTTAATTATAGCACTCGAGTGAGCACTGTAATAATTTTTAATATTCCTCCACGGTAGCATTTTCATTGTTCTGGAAGAGGAAAATACTCTGATCTTATGTCCCTAGTTTCTGGTGCTTTTCGATTTTATGGGAATGATGTCTTTTGGAACAGAAATCTTTCATTTGGTCTCAAAGAGGAGAATAGGGCTACAAAATTTGGTGCATTTATTTACTGATATAAACTTTCCTCTCTATGTCAATCATTCTTCTGGTTTAATATGTCACTACTTGGACCTTTAATATGACTCACACTAAAGAAATGAGTTTCTATGTGGCTTAACATGGCAAGTCTCAATTCCTGCTCACTTGTACTAGGGATACTTTCCACATTTATCATCTAAAGAAATTGTATGTAATATTAAGAGGGTGTCTTGCTAAGGTTTTATGTTGATGCTTATTTGAATTTAAGGCATTATCAGGTAATAGATGACATAGTGCGTTATAATACAATACATAATGCAATGCGACTTCCCTTTGAGGACATGGATTAGGATATAGTGAGCATCCCTAATACTCTGTTTAGAAAGGAAAACTTCTGTCCGTGCGTTGTCACTCATTCTGTTAAACGTGCTCTCATGGCTCCCCCTCCTTGTTGCCCAAGGGCTCTGTAATATGCCCGGCTCTTTGGTGGAGCTTCAGGGATGCTGGTTGGTTGTTGATTTGCTCAGGTGCCCTTCCTTTGTTCCTTCCTGAATTTGCAGAAGTGTGGAATTTGTGCTGCCTTGTGGGTACTGAGGGGAGACTGGTGCCTTGGCTTATCTCAGTGGGATGACAGGGCTGGCTGGCAAGGATATAGACACTTGTGCTTCACAGCGTGGGCTCCTGCAAAAGGCAGGGCTCAGTTTGCCCCTTCAGCAAAGCTGTCTGCAACTAGGTTTTGAAATAGGAGAATAATTATAGCTGCCCCTGGCCAAGGGAGCAGAATCAGGCTGTGGGCAAAAATACCGGTTCTTGCTCACTGAGCTCTGGCTGATGAGTTCTGTGATGAGAATATCCTCTTCGGTGAAAAAGAATACTTGTGAAAGACAAAGAGATAGTTATAGCTTTTAGACAGTATTGTAAGGGCTTTATCTTTTGTTAGTGTTCGTTAAAAATATTTGATTATTCATCTGGTAAGAACTGCTTTTGTAAAAGGCATTTTATATATATATTTGCAAGATAGAAAGACAGTTTTATGGAAGAGTGCATTGGTATGTATTCTTGGATTTGGGATGAAATAATTCGTATATTTTCCAGGAAATCTGTGAGTGTAAACTTTCTTACTGTTTTGGGGTCACGTTGGGTAGTACACATACATATGGAAATACATAAGCAGAGGTAGACTTCAAAACAGCAGTTTCTTTCAAAGGATCAGGAATTTGAGATTTTAAAACAGCAGCTTCTGTCTGGGTGTGTTTGAGCAAGAACAGTAAAGGAATTTGGACCACAACTTGAGAACTTATAATGTTAGGAATGTAACATTTATTCATATAATTGATATATTTGTGAAATGCATGAGTAAATTATACATTTTAATTGAATTACAGAAAAAAATTGTAGAATTTAGAATTATATACTTTTATATTTAAGATTATATATATTATATATTCTTTCCATAGAATACTAATCAGTGGGGATACACTGAGAAAACCAAAAGGAAGGGATTATCTTTTCTATATTATTTTTGAAAAAAAAATTTCTTAATTGAAGTATAGTTAGTTACAATGTGTTAATTTCTAGTGCACAGCATAATGTCCCAGTCATGCATTTACATACATATATTTGTTTTCATGTTCTTTTTCATTAAAGGTTATTACAAGATACTGAATATAGTTCCTGTGCTATACCGAAGAAATTTATTTTTTGTCTATTTTTATATATAGTAGTTAACATTTGCAAATCTCAAACTCCCAAATTTATCCCTTCCCATCCCCTTTCCCCCAGTGACCATAAGATTGTTTACTGTGTCTGTGAGTTAAAAGATGGAACACTTCATGAATTTGCGTGTCACCTTTGTGCAGGGGCCAAGCTATTCTTCTCTGTATCATTCCAGTTTTAGTATATGTGCTGCTCAAGGAGCACCTTTTTCATATGTTTTTGAGCCAGGTTTAGTTAACAGGAAATAACCTAGAATTAAGAAATTTATTCCCGTAAAAAGTGAAATAATAATTCAAGACTCAAGGGATGCCCTTTCCTCTAAAGATTTATTCTTTAATTACAAACTCTTTAATCAGTATTATTAAATGCATATTTTCATGCAGAAGTAATCCATACATGAGACTCTTTGAAAAATATCATCACCTATCTAGAAGCAAAGCATACCTTTTTAAGAAACAGACTTTATTTTTCAAATTTAGACAGTATAGAAATTAAGTTTGGTTTTGAGTGCATTTGCCTAGATTCTACCTTAAAATTATTATTGATGGAAAAATAATGATGATATGATATAATAGAAGAACACATTGTACAATTTAAAAACTGGATTTCTGGTTCCAGGTTTTCCACTAATCAGCTGCATGACCTGGAGTAAGTCAGATAACTTGTCTGGATTTGACATCCATGTGTAAAATTGAGAAGTTTGAGTCAAAAGCACTCTAAAGTTCCTTCTTGCCCTAGTAATTATTTATTTGAGGGCTTAACAGATTATGGTGTTCATTGCATTGCCAAGAATTTCAAATAGAGGCGGCCAGCACCAGTCATGGAGGGAGTAAAACAAAGGCTGTATATAAGTGAGTCGAGTACATTGCATGAGAGTTTATAATCAGGGCTTTATAGGAAAGCCACACAGATGAGATAATAAAATAGGAAACTGAAGCCTGTGATAGATAAATAAATATAGGGAGGAATTGATACTGCTTGTTCAAGAAAAATATGAAAAATAGCCTAAGAATTGTTGTAAAGAATTTTCCATTGTGCAACAAACATATAGCCTACGATGTGCCAGGCACTGTTCTTATCAAGAAACTGAGGATGAGATGAGTTGATGTTGGAATAAGCTGTGGCAAATGCTCCCTTTAGGAAGGAACAATTCTCCATCAGACAGAGATGAACTAGATTGGGTCAGGCAGGGTGCTTGGGAGATTTCTTGTAGTCTTTGGAGGTGACAGTCCCTGTTTCAGGTGGTTTAAGAAGCATCTTGCCTAATAGCCCTGTTTCCTAAGTTCTCTTTGATGTGCACTCCTAAACGGAATCCTTGATTTCTTTTCCACTGTTGCTGGCTTTGTCACCTAAAGAGAGAGAAGACTTTCACTGTGTGCTCCATTTCCCACCAGTTAAAATATGATAGATTTTAGGGTGTTGGGGATGTCAGTATGCCAGAAAAAGTAAGATAGACTAGGATTTTAGCCTTTCCTGAGTTATGCTTTCAAAGTGCAGTGCCATTACAAGCCGTAAGTTCCCAGAACAAACATTTGCCCCAAAATACACTCCAGAGCTAACTGTGGTCTTTGTGTTGTATGATGCCCCAATGATGAATCAGCCTTCTGTTTACTGTAGTTTCTAATTCTCTTAAGTGGGCTCCAAGATTCCCTCTACCACCTTGCCCTTAATTCAGTGAGGCAACGAACAGTGCTTGGTGGGGGGTCACTGTATAGGAGTGATTTTGAGGTAGCCCATTGTTTTGGATTTTCTTTCCCATTTCTTCCATTATTGGGATAAACAAGAATTATCCATAGTTTAAGTGATTTTTCTCCTTTACATTTTCACCAAGGTAAAAACTGAGTACAGTAACACTTTTACTTTTGGCTACTTAATACTGCAAAAGCAAAACTGTGCAGAGCATTTATATGTATGACTTACGTTATGCTGTCAGAATCAGCTGTTGATTTATAGACCATACAGTGCCAAGACACAAAATATGCTGTCTTACCCATAGTAAGATCTTACTCATATCTTACTGCAGAGGAAACATGCTGTTTTACCCATGATATTAGCTACACATGCCCTATATCTTTACTAAAGCATCCTGTTTAAACTTCCTTTGATTTAAACCTTTTAAAAATCGAAACAGTTTACTCTCATAAAGCATCAATTTACTGTCTCAGGAAAGGGAATCTGTCTAAAATGTACCCACTCGAAATGTGGTCCATGGACCAGCAGCACATGCATCACCTGGGAGATTGTTAGAAATGCAGACCTGCAGTCCTCCTCCTCTTACCTATTGAATCAGAATCTGTATTTTGACCAGAAACCCCAGGTAATTCATGTACGTGTTTGGTTTGAGAAGCACTGGATTTAAATCTACAAATACTACTACACATAGGTGAGATTGGTTGGAAGTTGGCAGAATTGTAAATTGTATTTACCTTTGATCTGGAGGAAAATAAAACTCAACAAGCATGAAGGACTTGTTTAGTCTGAAAATATTTATAAATAATAAACTGTGAAAATTATATGAAACATATGAGAAGTTAGAAATATTGGCAATAAATAAGATAAACATTATCCCCCAAAATGCAAGTTAAATGTATGTGCACGAAGTATTCTGTAACACACAGTATTTGGGGAAATTGAATGTGTAAACCATCATGGTATTTGTGACACAGGAGTGACAGGCAGGCAGAAAGCCAGGCATGAATCAGCGATAGATCACAGTGGTCACTGTTCTACTGCTGGTTTGATTCCTTAGAAATTTCCTTAAAGGCAGAGCCTAGTTGTGGCATGTGTCCCTTTCACACAGTAAGTGACACTGTTTGCTAGAAAGCTAAGTATAAACCAGAGTGTTAAGAGATGGGCTAGAAGAGTGATTATGGCATAGAAAGAACTGATTTATGAGGAAAGAGAAAAATAATTAAATGGGCAGCACTGTGGTATAAAAAGAAACTACAGAGACATGGATATTTATCTAGTGTTTCTGCAGTGGTGTTTTCCTGCAGTATCCATATGCAAGATGCAGAAACATTAGGACATAAGGATGCTAAGAAATTTGTTTCAAAGCAAAGCGATACCAGCTGGAATGACTCAAATTAGAAGCAAAGAAGCAACAGGAAAGATTAAGTTTCAGAAAATTTTACCTGGTGCATGAGGAGGAACCTTGAGTGGGATGACTGATTCCCTGAAAACTTTTGAAAGCTCTGTGGGCAAAGAATGGAAAATCATGTATTAAGTTGTAGAATTATCTCCCCAGGGAAATAATTGGAACTCATCTCTTAAAACTTCTAAAACTGGGGGGGAGAAAACCCAGGATGTTGTCTGTGGGAAAACTCCACTTCTGGCAGAGACCTGGTGATTGATGAGTGACATTTTTGTTCTGCACTGTCTTTGATTAATACTGATGTTACTGTACACAGATAATTTTTTCATCTTATTTAAATAAAAAAATACTAGTTTCTAGAAAGACAGCCAAAGAGTGTCATCTGCCCTACATGGTGTCTGCCTTCGTGGAATTCGTAGGCTACCTGGTGCCCGGTGACATTCTTTTTTTCGTTTCTCTTCACTCATTATTCTTTAAGATATGCAATTCAGTATATATTGGAAGCAAATTCATTTCCTACATTCTCTTCATCTGGAAAACTAAAAGCCATGCCCGAATATGCCTTGCCTTTTGAAGCCATTTGTCAAAGGATACAGAAACTCTGCAAGTCTGAAATCATCTTGTGCTTCAGAGTGTTTAGTGATCCTTTTTATCTGCATGAAAACCCACCTCATGTTTGTCAAGGAGTAATGGTCCGAGGGCACTACATTTCCTTCTCTCTCCTCTGTAGACATTTTTTGCCCCAGTGCGATGAATCAGCTGAAAAAAGAAGCCCAGAACCTCAATTCCATTGGTCAGAAAGCAAGTAAAACACAACAAAATTATTCAGTCTTCTACGTCATCACTTTACTTGTTCACGCTATTTCCTTCAGGTCCACGCATATTGCTTAGGAGAGCTAGTTTAACACAGGTGCTGCTAAGAATGAATTGTATCAAATATGTTGACTGGAGATCTTAGATATACTTCTTTGTGCTAGTGTGCAGGAAGTTTTGCCAAACTTAAATATTAAGTCACATTAGTTAAATTACTTCAATTGCTCCATAGCATGAATTGGTTTTTTTCATTGATGTTATTTTCTAAGCTATTATTCTGTTTTGTTATTTTATGACTTAATGCACCTGCTTTAATTTTAAGACATTCTGTTTGTAGCCAAAAGTTCTTACTCCTTTCCTTCCTGAAAGGGATCTAGACCTAAACAAAATGGCTAGGATTACATTCTACTGTGTGTCCATAATACAAAGATACTCTCCATATCCTGTTTTTGTGAAAAGGGCTCTAACAGATAGCCCATATCTTACATGTGCAAACAACAACTGTCTTTAAGAGGAAAACTAATTGAGAAAAAATAAAATAAAACTGATGGGTTGCAATCTTTCTTTTTCTCCTCTTGCTTCCTGACTGATATACCTACCAAAGGGGCAGGGGAAAAAAGCCCTTTTTCTTTCTAAATCATGCTACTAGTGTCATATTGATTTTCTCTCAAGGACACCCTGTGGTCTCAGATGATCACATATTTTTTCACATTACCCATATTGATACAGCACCTTGACTCACAGGTTGACATATGTTGCTTCATCAGACGACACTGCTCAGCATTGACATTTCCCACCAAGGGCGGTGGACCAAAGCCTCTTATGCATGAAACATAAGAGAACTGCTTCACAACCATATTCTCATTTTTTGAAAAGTAATTATTGTTCACCCCAAGGGATACTTTAAGTCTCATCAGTGTCCCTTAACATTGTTCCTAATCTCTCCATCAGTGTCTTGAGTTCTTTTGTGTCTCTGCTGATGCAAAAAAACCCCAAAAAACAAAAAAAAACCCAAATCCGTCAACTGGGTATCAGAATATTTGAGTGTTACATGGCTTGTAAGAAGAAAATTGTGTCATTCAGTGTCTGAAAGAATACACGGCAACCAGTCTCCGAGCCGTTGCTTTGGCTCTTTCTTACCTTTGTGCTGTCCTGGCCCCGCCTCTGTTGCAGCTAGCCGTCAGGTGGTTGGAACACAGCTGCCACTACCAGTACATGGATGAGCTCCTGCAGTACATCCGCTTCGGCCTGATGGACGTGGATACTCTCCACTCTGTTGCCCTGTCCCACCCCCTGGTCCAGGCGAGTGAGACCGCAACAGCTCTCGTCAACGAGGCCCTGGAGTACCACCAGAGCATCTATGCCCAGCCCGTGTGGCAGACCCGCAGGACCAAACCGCGGTTCCAGTCAGATACTCTGTACATCATTGGTGGGAAGAAGCGCGAGGTCTGTAAAGTCAAGGAACTTCGGTACTTCAACCCGGTGGACCAGGAGAACGCCCTCATAGCTGCCATTGCCAACTGGAGCGAGCTGGCTCCCATGCCCGTGGGCAGGAGCCACCACTGTGTGGCCGTGATGGGGGACTTCCTGTTTGTTGCAGGAGGGGAAGTTGAGCATGCCAGCGGCCGGACGTGTGCCGTCAGGACCGCCTGTCGCTATGACCCCCGCAGCAACTCCTGGGCAGAGATAGCACCCATGAAAAACTGCCGGGAGCATTTCGTGCTGGGAGCGATGGACGCATACCTCTATGCAGTTGGGGGCAGAAACGAACTGCGCCAGGTCCTGCCTACCGTCGAGCGCTACTGCCCCAAGAAGAACAAGTGGACTTTTGTGCAGTCCTTTGACCGGTCCCTCTCATGTCACGCCGGATACGTGGCTGACGGTCTTCTTTGGATATCAGGTAGAACGTGCTTCTTATGTTGGATTTATCACAGAACACTTGCATCGTGGCATTAATTTAAAAGTCAAGCTTTGGTAGTTGTGGCCGTGCATAACCGAACGGTTCGGCCAAGCATGCCGTTTTTAGCTAAATAACGTTCGTTTATTGAGCACCTACTCTGCAGAGCGCAGCGTAGTAGGAAGTAATTGACCTTTCTGTGCCTTTTCTGAGTGACTAGTGGAGTAAAAATTCAAGATGGTAATGAATGGCCCGTCAAATCTCTTTTTCTACCAAACCTCCTATTGTTTAGGTTGTCAGCTTTTGCTGTTCTTGGATTGTATTGCACACCTTGTGGTTTATGCAGGTCCTTTGCTTTTCCTTGAACCTTGGGCTGCTTGACTAGGAGCCATTTTATCAAAGACAGGGCAGGCGAAGTAAATGCCCAAAATCCACTTTGAGGAGTGTAGCAATGGATGCACATCCAGGCAGGAGCCATGCTGTGCACTGAGGGAAGGGATTTAAGCTATTGGCTGAAATAGGGTTTTTCTGTCATCTATGTGATTGTAGTTCCTCATGTTGTCCCAATCCTTTATTCTTACTTACTCTGCCATTCTTCCTGATTATTTGGGGGTTCTGATTATTTTAGTTTACTTTTTTGTTGTCTGTTTTTTTAAAAGCTCTTTTATTAGGAACAAAAGGAAGAGACTAGTATAATAAACCTCATGTGCTCATAACCCAGTTTCATCAGTGAACCATTTGTATCAGTCTTTTTTCATTCACTCCCACATACTCCTTCCAGCCCCTCACGGCTGCCTTCTCTCTGGTACAGAAGGAGTCTGTGCCGCGTATGTTATTAACATCACATTGTCAACCTGTGTTTCCAATCCTATTATTGAAAGGACCTAAAATGTCCTCCATTGAAAGGTTTGCTTATTAGGGAAGAAAGTTGCATCTTCTCTCAGTAGGAGGATACTCATTTTGTGACCCAGATGGAACTTGTTAAATTTCTTATGTCAAGGACAAAGAGGGATAGAAAAATCAAATAACTTAAATACTGAGAGTAACTTCGAGATATTTGTACTTAGAAGAAACAATCACTTTTAAGTACACCAGTGAAGACTTCTCAGCTTCCCTCAGTAATCTTCTCTAGTTTAACATCTGCTCTGACAAAATTCTTCCTTGCATTTTAAGTAAATTGGACTCTGCCCATTTTTCCTCCTGCTGTACTCAGAAATCAGGAAGGCAGTCGTAGTCTTGGCTTCTCTGGGTAGTGCTTCCATTATGGGCAATTCACTGATTTTTATCAAAGAAACCTAGCTCATGTCTGGAGTTAAGCACTCAGTAACTAATGAATGAAGTTAAAATTTGGATGAAGGAAGAGGATAAATGAAGTGTATCCAAAAAGTACTGGTACTATAAACCAAATAAACATTAGATATGGGTGTGTATGTTAGTATATATAGATATATTTAGATAACCTTATTTATCTGGTGACTTCCTTACTTTTCTTTAAGTTTGTATTTCAGTAGTTAAGAAAAAAGCCACCAGGACTATATATTTTTTTATTTGTTTATTTTTTTATTGACATATAGTCAGTTACAATGTGTCCATGTCTGTTGTACAGCAATGTCACAGTCATGCATATAATACATATATTTGTTTTCATATTCTTTTTCATTAGAGGTTATTACAGGGTATTGAATATAGTTCCCTGTGCTATACAGAAGAAATTTGTTTTTTTAATCTATTTTGATATATAGTGGCTAACATTTGCAAATCTCAAACTCCCAGATTTATCCCTTCCCACCCCCTTTCCCCCGGTAACCATAAGATTGTTTACTATGTCTGTGAGTCTGTTTCTGCCTTATAGATTAGTTCATTAGTGTCTTCATTTTTCTTTTTTTCAAATTCCACACATGAGTGATATCATGTGATATTTTTCTTTCTCTTTGTGGTTTGTTTCACTTAGAATGATGATCTCTAGGTCCATCAAGACTATATCTTGTTAGCTTTGCTGAAGAAATTTTAAATTTGGCTGCAAATAAGTCTTTGCTATTAGAAGCAACAGACCTATACTTAGATAACAAAACAATGATGGATTTATGAAATCAATGTAATTCATACTTTCTTCCAACTTACACCAACTTCTATTGACTCAGTTTTCATATACTGCTGAAGTACAGCGTTCCCAAATTTTGCATTGCGTTTTCTAAATTTTGTATAAACTTCTCTTAAGTAGCTTAATAAATACTCCTTACTTATTTTAATCTTTTTAGTTATGAAACTAATTTAAAAAAATGATGGAGTTTTTCTTACCTAATCTTAAGGATATGACTGCTTCACACCTTCCTTGGTGAGGCCTTAAGAAAGCACGGAAGCTTAGCTTGGCCAGATCTGTTGAGCTGGTATCAAGCTGATTTCTCTTTCCATATGGGTCTGTATGTTTCTTTTTGGTAACTGTATCAACTTATTGCAGTTTATATTGCTGTTATTACTTTGTTTTTCCCCTACTGTGAAAGGAAATACATTTTCTTTGTTCTTCTTTTGCACTAATATATGCTGCCTGTGTTAACCATGCTTAATGAAAACAATCACAATTTTCTCAGGTTGGTTTCTCCCTACTGTGTACTTGAGATGAAAAACTCACTTCCCTGTGTACAGGACAATACCTTTAATTGGAAGGAAGAGGAAATCACCAGCGACATTTCTAATGCCTTCAGTCATCTGCCTCTTTCCTCAGGCCCAGCTTATAATAAATCAATTGTGAATCTAACCATGGACAGGGAGGGGTTGCTAATGGGCCCCTTAAAAAAAAAAAGACCCTGACTCTGCCTCTGATTTAGAAGTGTTACTCGGAGTTTTTGGGCAGATGAAAATGTTTGAGGCTCTTTCTTATCCTTTGCCAAATAATCAAATATTTCCAGTTTAATTGAAGGGGGACTGGATCGTTGGCATCCTTCTGGCATGTTGTAAGCTTTGCCTGAGGTGGAGGTCGTAAGGATTACAGGATATGGATTTTAGGGGCTTATTTCTGTTCCACAGAACACAAAATGAATGTTTCTTTAGAGACTTGACATTTCCAGTGTACTCACTCCCTCTCTCTACCTCCTCCCCGTTCTCTGTCCATTTTAGGGTCAGGATACCTGGAAACCTGTCCATGGCTTTTAAAATGAGACAAGCAGAAACGAATTCAGAAAATCAGGCTGTATAGATATGCCCATTAGCATTTAACTTAAGATGTTAGAGATAGTCAGATTTTACGGGCTCCTCTAGCATTTGACCTTGTGGCCCAATTCACAAATGCTCTGCATCGTTTCTACTTGAAATTCACAATACTGAAGTAAAGTAAGTGTTGCATATCCTGCAGTTGTGCTTTAGAAGGTGTGCTGTCCATTGTAAGATGGTGTTTGTGAACGGCTTAAAAAGACTCTTTTTGTGTGTGTGAGTGAAAATGAATCCCCAGCTCCTCTTGCAGCATAAGTTACCTTTTCGTTTTTGTGAAATGGCAGGAGGATGATGGGAAGCACAAGATTAGTGCTTTAGAACTATAAAAACAAGACAAATGGTACTGCATTTCCTCAAAAGCAGCACTTAAGTGTTTTCCTGGTTCTTTGGGTGAATGCTACATCCTTATTAGATCCTTTTTACATCCTTATTAGGTGCTGGCTCAGAGCAAAAAAGATTAATTCAGCAAACGCACTTCCTGCCCTCTAGGAGCTGACAATCAAAGAGTTTGTCAGATATTTCTTTAATGAAAGAGCATTTGTTAGAGCTTCCTTCACTCCCTAGAAGATATGTTTATTTTCATCTTGATTAAATTTAGATGAAGTTTGCATAGCCCCATTTTAAGGGACTAACTTATTCAAACCTACTAAAGGGACTCTGGCTTTTTTAGTATTCATTAAAATTGGAACAATGTAAAATATCATTAACATTTTTTAAATGCCAGAGCTAGAGCTTTACTGTGCAAATAGTAGCTTACTTGCATCTAAAAAAATTGTACACAAAATACTGGGAACTAACAGGGGACGCAGCAGAGGCTGGATTGTGGTGCACTGAGGTCACAGACTGAGGGCACCCACACGTGTAAAACTTCCTCTGCTTCTTACCAAGCAGGAGATGCCGAGCAAGCTTCCTCACCTCCCTGAGTCTTGTTCAGGCTAGTGCTGGGGCCACGGAGAAGAGTAAGACAGGTCCACGCTGGGGCTCACAAATTTTAAACAGATGATGACAGTATAACGTGAAGTGTTTATGACAGATGTCTTTCCAAGGTGCAGCATAATGTAAAGTGGGGGGTAATCAGTGCAGGGGCACAGGGGGCTTCACAGAAGTTCGTGGCACCTTCAGCCTCACTTGGCCTCAGGTCTGCTGAGTGCTTCCCCCTTGACCACTAACCCCTCCTCGTGCTCACCCATGGGCTTCACGGTCCAACCATTTGGAGAATCCTCTTGTCCTCTGGCACGCACGCACCGCTGGACAAGCCCGATGGTCCACTTTGTGCCTGTGCCCGGGCGGCGAGCCCTGGAGAGAGGCTGCTCGCAGGAGAGCTTGGTGTGTGTACACTAAGCCCTCTCTCTGCCCTGCCACTAGGGCCCCCCCCTTTCCCCGGCTCACTCTCCTCACAGTCCCCTCTGCCCAACTCAGACAGAGAACCTGGCCCCCTGTTTTTCAGAGCAAATGGAAGTGAGGAGGTTTTCACAGCAAATCAGGTAAGGCACGATGAGAAGGCGGTGGAGACTGAGGAGACAGAGGGACCCGAGAGCATCAGGAAAGGGGCAGAAGGCTGGGCAACACGAGCGAGGAGGGTGCAGAGGAGGGGGACGAAGGAAGGAGCCAGAGAATGTGCGATGAGCAAGGCCAGAGGGGGGAGGCGTGTTATAGAAGCCAGAACCACAGCAGCGGGGCGTCCAGTCCTATGGGGACATCCCAGTCCAATGTATTTCCTCTGTATTTTTCCATCAGGAACTGCTTGGTAATTTCCATGAAAGCAGTTTCCAGGTAATTTCCGTGAGAGACGGTGG